TTGTGTCAGCCTATGGATCTGGGAATTTTCGGGAAACAAAAAACTTTCCTTGATGACAAAAACAATTCGATGTTACACAAAATTTCATTAAGTGAAAAAGAAAATGAAAAGTGTGACGAAAAGGTCCAAAGAAATGGGAAAATTCTCAAAATAAACTCACCCGAGTTCAAAAATGCATTGAAAAAAATTGCAAAGCTCTCGGAGGAAGACAAAGTTAGGCAGCTTGTTTACTCATGGGAAGTAGTGTCTGATGGCGACACGATGACCAGCGCCTTCAAACAAGCTGGTATAATATACATGGTTCAACACCCATCTAAAGAAGAGTTGGAAAACATGAGACGTGTCAACCTCAACTTCAACACTGTAGACCTTCTTAAAGGTGTTGCAAAGGTTGACATGTCTTATGCCAGAGAGGTTTGCTCTTTTCTTGGTAAGGATCCAAAAAAAGAAAGCAAACTGTTAGAGTCTCCATTGAAAATTTTACTGATAGAGAGCACGGGCTCGATGTTGAAAATCTCATGAAAATCAAAAGGGATGAAAAGAACAAAATTACTAATGAAAAAAACCTCGAAAAGAAAAATAATAACTTGGTTTTGTTTTTTTTTATTTATTAATTAAATTTTTTATTTGTTGTTAACGTAGTAGTATATATATTGTGCCGATTTCGGACACTCGCTTCTCTCGCATCCTCAATCACCACAATATATGTTAAAATCGTTGTAAATATATTATATTATATTTTTCAAATAATTACAAAGTGATAATTTATTTTATATATTATAAATGGAATCATCCTTTTTAATGAAAGCTATTATTAACACTATAAAAGAAAAGTGTAAACATGTTGAAAACATTAATAATCACGAAGTTGATTTATATTATCAACCTGATACAGAAGAATTATTTCAAATCAAGAACGACACTGTTAGATTATTAGTTCCCAGAACAAGTCAATTTAGTGATAAGTGGGTTCGTTACTGTATTAAAGATATTAATAACAAAGGCATAACTTTTAGTAAGAAACTATTGTCACAATACAAATCCGATAATACCAGAAAAATAAATTTCGATTTTAATGATGAAATTACTACTAACTTTTTTGATAACTACATTTAAATAAGATTATCTGAGAATAACTGATATCCTTTCAGATGTTCCGAAAGTATATTATTACTTTTGGGACAATTATTTTTGGTTTTATTCCGTATGAAATAGACTGACTAAAAATAAAACTCTAATAAATCGTTTGTTCCTATTATGTTGGCAGACATATTACTAACTTTAAAACGAAATATTTCTGGTGAAATGCTCTCTTGTTTTAATATTAAATTGTTTATCAAATTCGAAGCTTGGTCTAAGCTCTAATAAGTTAAATTCGTACTTCTCTCCATTATATAGTCTTTTATATAATTCTACCGGATCTTCTTTATTATTGAGAAGATTATTAGGAATACCTTTTAATCTTAAATGATAAGCACATTCTCCTTTCTCATTTGTTAATACATCACAATATGCTTTTTTACCTAAAAAGTAAGATTCTTTACTGTAAACATCTCCAGATAATTCATCGAAATCAGGATGAAACTGTTCTAAATTAGTTCCTCTTAATGTTTTTTCATATATTTCTTCTAATTCTTCAATTCTAGACTTTACAATATGTATAGAATCAGTATCTTGATAATATATAGGAATATCTAAATCTTCTGCTAAACACATTACTTCATTCATTATACGTTTACTCATACTTAATATTTGAACACCAATTAAGTTAGGTACACAAAAATCATCAAACGACTTGTTAGTTTCGAAGCATCTAATGTTTTTACTTACATCATACATAGATTTAACTAATGTAAAGTTCTTCTTAAGATATCTGTCAGCATCATGTTTACCGTTGTTATCAATTTGTTTATACACTAATTCATTAGTAATTGGCTTCTGAATTGGTTTACCCATACTAC